ATGACTTCAAGAAGATACAGGAAGGTATTGCCACTGTTTTTGGTGAAAGTACCAAAAAGCGAAGAAAATATTTTTGCGCTAAGAACATGCGTAAACTTAATAGTACGGGCAGAGCCCCAAAGAATTAATAAGGGACTGGTATCCCAAAGTCATCGATGCCAGTTCTTCGGCCATTCGCAGAGATGTTGCCATTCGACGGCACGCTGCGTCAAGTGTGGAGAGAACCACGACACCAGGGAGTGTAAAAAAATAGACACGCCGGCCAAATGCGCGAACTGTATGGAGGCGCATCCGGCAAGTTACAGAGGTTGCAAGATGTTCCCGAGGCAGAGAACATCAGCGTGGAACAGACCCAGAGAGGCGGAAAGACCGACGCCGAAGCCACAACAGCAATCGGCTAAAAAAGCCCCAACAAGACAACCACCAACAAACAACAACGGAAATGATCTAGTGAAAATACTTAGCAGTTTGACAGCCGAGCAGCAAAAGATCGCGAAAGCGGTCTTAGCCGCACTAATACAAGCACCCGCCAAACAGTAATGCCAGTACGAGTGCCTGACAGACTAGTTATAGGATCGTGGAACCTAAACGGTTTCACACACAGAAGAAACGAGCTACTGGAGCTTCTGTCGCGTCTAGAAATAGACATCATGGCACTCCAGGAGACACGGATAAGAAGCGAAAAGAGTTATCGAATCCCAGGATATAATATATATAGGACAGACAGGCCAGGGGTGCGCAACGCCGCGGGGGGCGTTGCGCTACTAGTAAAAACAGATCTAGCGCAAAACGAAGAAAGAAAACCAGATGTCCAACTCGGAGAAGTAGTAGCGGTTAGAGTCAACGTGAGACGCTACGAACAGCTGAGAATATCGTCGGTATACCTACCTCCGCGAGGTAGAAGACTAGAAAGAACCCACATGGCAGAACTATTCCCAGATCACCATCCTACAGTGGCCATCGGCGACTTCAACGCAAAGTGGCCAGACTGGAACTGTAGATTTGCATAAGAGGCAGAGATATAGTAAGATTACTAGAAGAATTGGAGATGGAAGTATTAGACGAAGGTTCGTCAGACTACAACCCCATCCTATTCACAATAGGAATGGGTGAAGTGGAAACAGACAACCCAACAAAGCGAGTCATAGACTGAACAAGATTCCAGCGAGCCATACACGATGCGCTGGGTTAGATACCACGCATCGAGACAAAAACAGATCTGGAGAACGCCATGAACCAGCTTCAGCAGGCGATCATACCAACAACGGAAAAAAGCGCGCGGGAAGTCCCAGCCACGCGCTATAACTTCCAAGGGCATCTTCCACCAGAAACGATGGTGGAAGAAGACGCCTGAAAAGACAGTACCAAAGGACACGTGCACCTACGGACAAAAGGTGCATGCAGAGAGCAACTAGGATACTGAAAAAAGAGCTGAAAGCGATCCGAGAAAGACAATGTACTACCCGTCTGGAAGAACTGAGCACAGAAGATCGATCTGCATGACAAATGCAGAAAAAACTCAGAAATGGACCTCGACGACCCTGCCCACCGATACACGGCGAGCAAGGAATTGTCTACATTGACCAGAAGAAGGCGGAAGCATTCGCGGACAACTTCGAAAGGCAGTGCAGAGAGAATGACGTCCCGTTCACAGACGAGGTAGACAAAATAGAGAGACAGGTGAAAAGAACGGTACGGAGGCTTAGACAACGGACAGATAATGCGCAACCCCTGGCCCCGACATCGCCTGAGGAAGTGAAGGACATTCCGAGACGTCTTGCCACTCGGAAAGCACCAGGCCCAGACAATATAACAAATTGAGCACTGAAAGTGCTGCCGCGGAAGGGTATAGCAGCCATAACCGACATCATAAATGCTATACTCAGATTGCAACACTTCCTGTACCTGTTCAAAAGGCAACGGTAATCCACATACCGAAGCCCAAGAAGAACCACCTGTTTCCAGCGAACTACCGGCCAATTAGCTTACTGCCATCCATAAGCATAGTGGCGGAGCGTGTCATCCTGAAGAGACTGGAAGAACAAACTAGAGAGTTAGGGATCCTGCCCGACGAACAATTCGGTTTTAGATCAGAACACTCAACAGAGCTACAAGTCCTGAGGGTAGTGGACTTTGCGACAGAAGGCTTCAACCTTGGCAGAGGATACAACACCGGAGCTATCTTCTTAGACGTCTCCAAAGCGTTTGACAGAGTTTGGCATGACGGGCTACTGGCCAAAATGAGCGATTTTGGATACTCAAAACCAATAGTAAGATTAATTCAGTCTTTTCTAGCTGACAGGCGATGCCGCTGCAAAGTAGGAGACGAATTATCAACAGTTCGACTACTGGAGGCAGGAGTCCCGCAAGGTGCACTCCTTTCGCCACACCTCTACTCCGTATATATTCAGACGTGCCCAAGCCAGAGAACAACTTTAACAAGTTGGCGCTTTACGCGGACGACACGGCCCTGCTGGGAGACCTACGAGTCAAGCACACGTTACGAGATACCTTCAACAACAGGTAGACAGATTGAAGAAGTGGGCTAACCTGTGGAAGATCAGTATTAACCCTGACAAGAGTAAGGCGATACTGTTCACTCGCAGGTTCGTACAACCGGAAGGCAACGTCACCTTCAACGGACAAGAGATTCCGTGGACAAACAAAGTGACATACCTTGTGGTCATCCTAGACAGGAAACTAACATTCCAGGCCTTCGTACAGCAGACGACGCCTGGCGCCGATCATAGGAAGAAGTAGTAACATGGCATTGACAGTCAAGTTACTAATGACTAATGATCAGAACGATTCTAATGCCAATAATACTGTATGCATGCACTGCCTGGGGCCAGTGTGCGCAGACATACAGGAAGAAGATCCAATCGTTTATGAATGCGAGTGTAAGGGTCGCTGTAAACGCACCTTATTATATACCCAATAGATTTATATACAGAGACTTAGACCTGGACACGCAATATGTGGACGTGTATATGAGAGAACATGCAGAAAGCACGTTCGATAGAATCAGATCGCACTAAAATCCAGCGTTCCGCGATCTACACCATGCATTAAATATGGATGACCCCAGATTCCGAGAAAGGGACAAACATCCCAGGACGACTAAACAGAATAACAGACCGCCCCTGTTAGTCGCCGTCAGGCGACTTAGGTAAGTATAATACTAACCAGATAAACTCTCTTCCAGGTAGGTTCAGCGAAGAACACTTTGACCGCGATCGCGACCCAAAAAATTTTTCTTGGATTCACTGAGAAACGCTCGGTGCATTAACATAAAGCCGCCGGTTAGTTTTTGGGGGCCCCATGCTTAAATTCAGTTAGGAATAGTCAGATAAAACAACGATTCGATGAGAAAGTAAAAGCACCTAAAGGCTGAATTTCGACCAAAAGAGGTCAGACGTCAATCTTGCTTGCGTATGAATATCAATGATTATATTAAATATGAAACCTGTCAAATCTGTGATTTTTTATTTTTATCTTCATATCAAAGCTCCCTATACACTGGATGTGTGATGCGGGTATAAAGAAGGAATGATACATCATTCTGAAATTACAGTTTGCATAGCAATTTTCATTATAACATTTTGATTGAAACTTAACTTTTTTTACAGCATCTTCTGCAGGTACTATTGAAACATCTTCAACGGTTCAATGTCCCGGACCTGCCCAACGTAATATTTATGGGATTTCTTTGCGAAAAAATTCACTAGAATGAAATCATCTTTTGCAACTATTCTATTGGCAAAACTTTCTTCAACTAGGTATTTTGAGGTGTAATATTTAATACTTGTGTTGAGGAAAAATAACTGTATCAGGTCTAAAATCTGTAATTCAAAAAAATTTTCGTTGGAAGGATATCTGATATCCTCTGTATTACTTCTAGTTTTGCTTGTGTAAGTTGAGAGAGGTATATTTTTAGGAAAAAATCATTTTTGCTTTCTACTTCTCCATCTCAATACGAAAAATATGAAATCTTTCAAAGGAAGAAAGAAATAAATTAATTTCAAAATAAACTCTGTACAAAGATGTGTAGTTCATGTGAAGAAGTAACTTTCAGACATGAACTGAAAGAAACAACTAATTTCATATGAACATTGAATTATACATTGAGGATGACAGTGTTCCATATAAGTGAAATTTTACCTTTTTTATACATTAGAATGTGTAGCAATCTGTTAAAGATATCTGATTCCATAACGAATGTTTGGAGTACAAACTGAATAGATTTTTTTTAATTCGATGTACATATAAAAGTAGTTATTTCTAAAGTATTTTTTTTGTAATTCAATGATCCTGTGAAATTAGTTGTTTCGAGACGGCTTTCTCTTTCAGTTTGTGACTGAAAGTTACTTCTCTACATGAACTGAACTTCTTTGTATTTTGAAATTATTTCATTTCTTCCTTCCATACATTTCATTTTTTCTATGATGAAGAAGTAGAAAGCCAAAATCCCTCTTTTCCGAAAATCTTGCTTCTAATTTGCGAACATTCGCAATTGTTTTTCAAACGAACATTTTTTTCTGAGTACTGAAAGTCATATTCATTTTGATGAAGTTCAGGTTCACAATCCTGAAAAATTATGCATATCCTGAAACTTTGGTGAAAATATCTACAAAGAGGCTAACACAGCACTGAAAAAATATCAGTCGTTGAGCGGGAATTTATTTCAGTATCAACCCGATTTTGTATTTTGGCAGCTAACAGACAAATTTCTCGCAGTTTGAGAGGAGTCATGGTATATGGAATACATTTATGCCAATCTTATTCTGCAGTCTTAGAAAAATATTAGAGCCAAATATATGTATCAGAAATGATATTCGCTACTAGTCCAACGCAGTTTATAAATTCATGCTTTACAATATATTTCAATTTTTTTCACTTGGAGATAAACACTCAATTTGTTTTTTTAAACCATTTTGATCTTAATCTTTTTCGTCAATGACTCCCATTATATTCAAATTACTCAAATAGCTATAAATATCAGACTCGCCAATTTCTCCTCGTCATTGAATCAATCATGCTACTTTTGGGCGGATTAGTATTCTTGGTAGCTGTTGTAGCTAATTCAGCTTCACCGACTAATCTCACTGATGTTGGTGCTAGTTGTACCATTACGAAATTTAATCAAGTTTCTTCGGTACTAAACAGTTGTACGAATGTTGTTGTGAAAAACCTCGTTGTCGATGCCGGACAAACTCTTAAACTTTTTCTGAAGGCAGGAGCGACTCTAACTTTTGAAGGAACAACTACATTTGCATATGCTGAATGGAAAGGACCCTTGATTTGGATAAAAGGAAATGGAATTACAGTGGTTGGAGCTCAAGGTGAGCATTAATAATTTCTAGCTGCAATAAAATATTGAAGAGCTTCATTCAATTTTTCAATGATATAAGAGTTCTTTACAAATCATTTGCAGCTGAATCTCTCTTGAAATTATACAGTGCAATTGCATCCTTCATATAAACTCATTGAAATGACAATTTTTGTTTAGAAAGTAGATTTTGTTTGTTCATATTGGACCAAGAGTTTATTAGGACCAAATATATTTGAACAAAAATGTCAAATCATAAAATGATAAATAAACATATATTTAGAGTGCCATGGTTTTCCAGTACTTTCTCTCCGCAGCATATTTTTTTACTTGCGAAATTATTTACTCGGACATCTCTCGATTTTTAGAGATCAATTTTTGGTTCAACTTGAGTTTAAAAAGCAAGCAAAATTTGTTTTTCCCTTAAGTAAATACAGCATTTATCAAACGAATATGTTGTTAAAATCAAATTGATGTTACGAATTTTGAAAAATATTTAAACATGTATCTTGCAAATTCAATAACGGACTAGTATGACACAAAAGTTTTTATACGCCGCGGGTATTAATTATGCCCTCGATCGCCTCAGATCATAAACTTTTACCCATTTCTCTCAATAAATAACTGTTGAGCATGTAAAATATTGATGAAAAATTAATGATGATTAGATATCATATACAGACTGTTTTTATAGCTGACCCCATCATTGCTATCTTGATCTACAATGTGGTTTAAATTGGACATAAGTTTTCTATTATATTCTATTCAGATCGAGAATAACAGTTGCTGTTTTTGAAATATTTACCAAAAACCAGAATTATAATAACATATACCTATGCTGTAGCATATAGCATATTTAACTATATGTTAAAAAATGTGTTTCCCGACATTTCTCTCATCATCACTGTATAGCGATACAATTCTCGGTCAGAGCTACCTCAGAAAAGTAAGGACCAATAATTTTTGGGACTAGAACTTGGATCTATATATAAACTCCACATATCTGAAGAACACGTAAAGAACCAAGCAACAAACAGAAAAAAAAGTCAAAATACCCCTAATCATCTACGTCGTTGACGATATCCCATTGAATGTTAAAATTGCCGTCCATCGTTTCCTAAACACATATCCGCTCTTGCAAGACTATTTTTATGATATTTTCTCGGAATGTTCAAAGGCAAATCTTCCAACAACTCTGACAGGAATTCAAAATATAGTTTCTCCGTCAAAGATGTCTCAAAAAAGTAGTGACTCATATACAGATAATTTCTCTTCCATATTCTCCGTTTCACTATCACTGTTATTGAAATCAATAATGAATTTATTTCTACCATTAATATGGAACTGTCCAATCTCCATATAGTCTTTTTCAACTAAAATTACTTTTTTAATTCTTTTCTGCCAGCCTTCTTCGGTAATATTAGATACTTCTTCTTTATCTAGCTCTATCTCCTTCTCATCAAATTTTGGAAAATTATTTTTACGCCTGATGCTTTGTTTCAATTTTTCCCAAATCAACTCGATGGGATTGAAAACACAAAAATAGGGGGGACGTCTCAATATGGTGTGTCCATACTTTTCAGCAATACTCTCACGGACATAAATTTCAAGTAGTTGGTTTTTGGTATAGTTATCTTGAAAATACAAATTGTTATCCATTAAAAAACTTTGTATTTCATCTTTCCTCGAATTTTTATACGGTACTTTGATGAGCTGTCGCGAATGATAGGAAGGGTTGTCAAGAACAATTACACTATTCGCATCCAAATTTGGACCAATGTGTTTTCAAACCATCATGTACCACGGCATAAAATATTTGACAAATGGAACTACAAAACACATGCCATTAAAACTGAGAGAACTTTTGAAATAATCTAACATTAACTTACGACAGTCCAGGAAGAATTATGAATTCGTTAACTCTTTTTTATCAACCCTCTTTTCGGAATACTTGCAGTTCTTATAATAGAACATTCTAATGATCCCTGAACCTCCAAAATCCTCCAGTTTGTCTTTATAATGCTGTCACGCTTTTCAGTATTAGAGCAAAAAATAATTTCCGATGTTAAGCTAGCTCGTTGCACGAATTTATATGTTATTCCAAGTGGAAGTTCTCATTCTTTTTGTATCTCGATAATTTTTATATTTTTAAATTGTTATTAACCCCAAAAACCATTAAATGACCGGTTCTGATGAGAGTAAATGGAAGCGGATATAAGTCGCCCAAAATTTTCTTCTATAAACGATTTAGGGGCCAAGTGAAGAGTATCTCGAACATGTTTGACTTTTAGGTCACAAACTCGATGGCCGAGGAGAGAAATGGTGGGATGGCAAAGGAGATGGCGGAAAGGTGAAGCCACAATTCATGTTTATCCAAGCCACAGGAGGATCTGTTTTGAAAAATATCAATATGTACAATTGTCCCCATCAATGTGTGGGAATCTCTGATAGTGATCACGTTACTATCAGCAATTGGCAACTTGATAGTTCGGCTGGCAACCCAGTGAATGGGGTAAGTTTGGTGTATATGTGTTATCTCCGATAGTTGTTTGTTGTCAAGGCACGTTTCGACATCAGATGAAGAATTTTATCCTGTTATTTTCTCTTTCTCTCTCTCTCTCTCTCTAACTGGCAGTGGAATCGCTCTGCATTTTGACCCGGCTTCTCTGGTCTATGGTTAGATAGCGACATGAGATTCACAAAGCATGGTAGTCTTTTGATACGGAACTCATTCAATATTTTTAGAAATCGGTTTTCTGTTATGCGTCTACAGTGTATACCGAATCCATGTATTTCAGGTACTCTTTAGGAATTCGTGATTTTGATCACATAAGTAAAGCAAATGAAGAAACAATGAAGCTACGTCTCTATCAACTTTGAAAACTTACTTTCTGACAGCTGTTCACAAAATTTTTGAATTATCTTTCAATGAAATTGAAAATGTTTCGGAATATTAATTATTTACCTGCGAGAAATCGACGTCAACTTGTCATCCTTCAAAAAAGACCGAAGTAATCGTAATAAAGCGAAGTTTATCATCCAATGCTGCCAAACTTTATAATCAACTAGTACTATGTTGCTGTATTGCTGCTGTTCCAATTTTTTGACAGAATCAGGATCGACGAACTTAGGCATGCGCAGCGTTATAGAGCAGTGCCCGACCCGAGAATACTAGGTATTCTCGAAGAGTGCTTTCAAAAAATTGTTCTACAGCGCCATCTAGTGGCGAGTTACAGAAAAATTGATAGCCTATAAACCTTCTCTATGAAAAATTACTCTTACATCTCGAGTTTTATCACGATTGGTTGAGCGATGTAGAAGTTTATCATTTACCAACCAACCAACAAACATCCATTTTTATATATTAGATTGCTTCCGGATTCATTGATTCTAATACATTTAACTTCAAAAATAACTCAAGTTTCTTCTTCTTCATCAGATGTACGATATATTTTTGAATCCTTTTTGAACCGTTGAACTGTTAGTGTGATTAGTTACAAACAAATAATTATAAAATAACTTACAGAAAGAAGTTGGGCATAACACCGATGGATTTGATCTTTACAAGTCCAATTACATCCTTCTTGATGGCATTGTTGTTAGAAATCAAGATGATTGCATTTGTATCAATGGAGGTTCTCATCTGACATTCAGAAATTTATGGTGTTACGGAGGTCACGGCTTGAGTATATCATCAGGAATGAGCATGACGGATTACAATCTGAATGTCGTTTCCGATGTGCATTTCGAACATTGCCATGTGAGCGATTCACGAAATGGAATTCACATCAAAACAATAGCAGACGGAGGAAAAGGAAAGATGTCTGGCCTTTACTTCAGCGATATTCAATTGTCAGGTGAGTTACGAAGTAGTCTTGTGTGGTGAATTTTTCATTATTTTCAAAATATTTTTTATCGATCCTCTTTGGGTATTTTTACCTTCCACAATTTGAAAAATATGAAAAATGTACTATTCATCAGTAACTTGTAGCATTTAACTTTGCCTATCATAAAAAAGAGCAAAAAAGTTATACAGACACCTACTCATCTTAACGTTTCGAAGGCTGCCCCCGCCTTCAGAATGTAAAAAATAGGTATAGCTATTTTTTTCACTAACTTTCTTCATTTCTGAACTTCCTCAACAGATGCCAAACTAGTTTTGAAATGTGAATATGTCAATGTTGTTGATTGACTTCTGAAACATTCGATGTTCGAACAGGTGGTCCGTGATAGTCTGTTGCCATTTCGCCACTATCCATAGCCAATGGCAGCCAAATACGATCCATTTCTGAGGACCTATTCCAAATACACTTCTCTCCTAATGTAAGAATATACACTGTTTCTTTGAGGTTACGTCATTCAAAGTAGGATTCATTGGCAATCAGTTTCGTCTTAGGTATCCCATTCAATTCGATGTCTGATTTCAAAATGTATTCTGTGAATTTGAACCGTGTTAACTATCTTTTTCTGATGTGATCTTGATGTTCATTCTCACGAACTTTTAATAGCCTCGAAGTTCCACTAATATAACTTTTACTACAATAAAAAAGTGTCTTATGAATATATTATTTGTTTTTTTGTGTTGTCAGGTGTTGTATGTGTCAGTTTAGATCTGTGTCTTTGTTGTATCTTGTTGTTTGTTCTGTTGAGTCGGTAGTTATTGAGTTGGTAGTTGTTGAATTCATGATGCTGTTTGTAGGGTCTCTTGGTTTTTATCAGACTGTTTATTTTCCATCACATTCATTGTTGAAACTACAACCTAATCTGGATAAGCGTTCTCTTTCAGAACAGATTTTATCAATAGAATTATTTTTTTACACAGTTATAAAGATAATTTGTTATACCTCTTTTAACAATCGAATGAATGTTTGACGTAATGTGAGTTGATGGCTTCACTGCACGGACCAAGGAGCATTCACAATCATCCTTATTAACTTATTTTGCAACCTCTCCAAAATAAAAATATTAGACGGAGCCGCTTGTCCCCAGACGCCTGAAGCATACATGATGACAGGCTTGAACATCGTGTTGTAGATGCTAATTTCAGATCTTCTGTTGATCAGAGGGTACAGACTGGCTATCCGGCCCTCGATCCTTTTTTTAACTGATATCACGTGTGGGTTCCAAGTGAGCCTACGGTCTATTAGAAGGCCAAGGTACTTTACCTGCGCTTGCCAGTTGATCTGTCATCCAGAGACCCTCACTTTACTAGCCGGAGAAGATATCGTTCTTCCCATGGTTATTGCCTGAGTTTCTCCTGGGTTCACTCGGATCTTCTACTCGAGGTACCAGCGCTCGAGGTCGTCCAAAACACACAAATGCATTGCTGTACTCAACATTCTTTATAAAGGACAAGCTTGAGTAGGTGAGGGCAATGAAATTTCCCTCTACGAAGATGCCATCTATAGGATCGACAGAAAACTAGAGATGTAGGGGGAGATTTTATTGCCCTCACTTAGGCTTGTCCTTTACATGACAGTTGAGTCCAGAAATGCATTCGTGGGTCAGGCTAGCAACACTGATGAGAACTATGGCGGGTCAAAACAGTGCTTTATGGTGTTAAATCATGAATGCGTTGTGTTTTGGGCTCTGGTTTTCAGCTAGTTTCCAATTGCAGTGAGAGCTGCAGTAAAAGACGAATCTTATCGATGTTAAATCTTGACTTTGCAAGTGACCGCCTTGGGGAGCCTCTTTTGACTTCGATATTCGAGGACTGATTTCTCTGTCGATGCCATAGAAGGTTAGATTTCATTGCCCTCATTTGAAGTGCAGCTAATATGCAAGTTTTGAATTGAAATAGTATTTTATCCACAAAATAATTGCTTAATGTTTATTATGCACTTAAGTAATCATCCGCCTAATATAAAACGAAATCTAACATTCAAAAATAATTTCAAAAGCTGTAGAACTCGCACTCTTCGTTTCGAATGAGAATACACTTACCTGTATCATGAGGACAAATGATCTTAAAATATTATAGCTCTGGGAAAGAAAGTTTTTGACCTTCTACTTCTCCGTCTTGATACAAATGGCGAAATAAAAAACCAAAACATGTCTTTCCCAAAAACAAAAATAATAATAATGCCGATTATGATGGGAGTCTCTTCTTTTTTCATGAATTTAATACAAATATGTTAATTTTTCAGGAATATCTACCTACGGAATCAACGTCGAACAAAACTATAGAAACAATGGTGGACCTTCTGGAAAGCCAAACAATAATGTGCCTATCGATACTCTGGAGATTAATGGGGTGACTGGAACTTTAAATGGGCCGTGGTCAGTGAAAGCCTATATTCTATGTGCCTCTGGAGCATGTAAAAATTTCAAATGGTCAAATATCAACCTTCAGGGTAACTCACGGCCCGACTCCTGCAACTTCCATCCCTCCGGATATAATTGTTAGTAGTGAATGAAAATGATATTGTGTCAACTAGATTCGACAAAATGGTCATAATAACTAAACATAATAAAAAACAATTTGTAAGATTATTTTTGAAATAATTCAAAATGAACAATGTTGTGTTACTTGTTTTATTTGTTTTGGCAGATATATTGTTAACAATATGAATCCATTAATGAAGTTCTGTAGATAGCAACTAATAAATGATATTAAGTCATAACATTTTTCAGTTCATTTATTGATCCTCTTTCCTTTCTGGAGTCCTTTTTTATTCTTTGATGGCTCGGTCCAGAAACGAATCCTCTGTGTCAAAAATGGACATGAAACATGCCAATGCTTTACTTAAAATTTGTCATCTTTTCTATTTTATGAAACGTCTTCTCTATCGGCAAAGACTATTGGACTTTCTACGTTTCCATCATTATGTATTAATGAAAGAACTACCAAAAAAGCCCATAAAATTAAATACATAAATAAAAACAACTTCTTTCAAATATAAACATCTAATTACACTGAAGTCGCATTATCTCACTCATTTTGTAGTTCAAACATTTGTCATGAAATTGAAATAGACATCACACATGTTATGCAGGGTTTTCAGTTGAAGTTCTCATTTCTTATTCAATAAAAAATTTTGTAGCACAACCTGAATGAGACAAATTTCCGTGCAACGCAATGGTGCATACCCTGAAACTCGAAACTTTGGTAAGGATATCTAAAAAGAGGTTGAAACAGCATTAAAAAATATCTGAGGTTGAGCGGGAATTTACTTCAGTGTTATCTCGATTTTGAATTTTGGCAGCTAACAGTTTGAGATAAGTCATGCTTAATGGAATACATTTGTGTCAATCTAGTCCCGCAGTTTTTAAAAATATTGGAGGCAAATATATGAAGCAGACATAATAATTGCTACTAGTTCATCACAGTTTCTAATCGAATGATTGAGAGTCTATAAATTCATGTTTTACGATACTTAATATCTCAATGTTTTTTGACATGGAGATAAGCACTTTTCTCTTTTCTCAGAATCGTTTTGATTATAATCTTCCTTCTCAATGGCCCCCATTATATACAGATTACTCAAATAGATATAAGTATCAGACTTTCCAATTTCTCCTCGTCATTGAATCAATCATGCTACTTTTGGGCGGACTAGTATTCTTGGTAGCTATTGTAGCTAATTCAGCTTCACCGACTAATCTCACTAATGTTGGTGCTGGTTGTACAATTACGAAATTCAATCAAGTTTCTTCCGTACTAAACAGTTGTACGAATATTGTTGTGAAAAACCTCGTTGTCGATGCCGGACAAACTCTTAAACTTTTTCTGAAGGCAGGAGCGACTCTAACTTTCGAAGGAACAACTACATTTGCATATGCTGAATGGGATGGACCCTTGATTTGGATAAGAGGATCCGGAATTACAGTGGTTGGAGCTCCAGGTGAGTATTGATAATTTTTAGCTATGAGGAAATGTTAGAGAACTTTATGCAACTTTTTTAATACATAATAGTTCCTCAGAAAATTTGTGCAGCTAAATCATTTTTGAAATTATACAGTGCAATTGCACCCCGCATATGAACTCATTGGATTATAACATTTTTCGTTTGGAAACAAGAATATTTTTTTTCATATCGGGCCAAGGGAGTAGGAGTTATGAGGATTGTAGGCTTTCACGTCTGGCGTCAATGTTTTGGTTGGTTTCCAGGTTTTGCCGTGATCTTCTTTGTTCTCAATTTTCAAACGTTTCAACTGCGGCAGTCATCATCAGTGATGTGATCGAAGTAATCTTCGTGACGTATCAGCTGAAACTGAAGATCTCATTTCTGCCATGTCGCTGATTTTCAGCGTACTTTCTGTAATGGCGGGTTCGCGCGTTGTTCCCGCGCGATTTGGGTGACTTGGCTTCGTTTTGGCGCCTTTAAAAGCTGTGTGCCAGATCTTTGGTAGATATATTCTCTCTTCCTTTCAGTTGAAGTTCTCTTGGTGTTTATGTATTTTTATGGCTTCTGAAAACATTCTTGTTAAACAATGATTCGACATTCTTTTCTTCCTGTACACCTTATGGCCGAGTTGATTACCTTCCATGATGACTAAAACATCAAGGAATGGGATTTGGAGGTCTTCTTCTAATCCCATGGTGTGAACTGGATTCAGATGATTTAGGAAGTTCTGAAGTTTTTCTTTTCCATGGACCCAAACAACGAACGTGACAACTACATATCTTAACCAGTTCTTCGGTCGTTTTTCTAAAGTTTGAATGGCTCTTTCTTCAAGTTTTCCCAAGTAGAAATTAACCACTACTGGGCTGCTACGTGGACTGCCCATATCGACTCCATCAACATGTGCTTAAAAGGTTTTATTCCAATGAAAATGAGTTTACGTTGGTGAATGTCCATATTAGATGATAACTTTTTTCGACATTCACTATCGACAACTCATTTCCAATGGAATAAAACCTTTTATGAAAAAGTTTATGAAGTCGTCATGGGCAGTCTACTAAGCCCTGTAGTGGCGTATTTCTACATGGAAAAATTTGAAGAAAGAGTCATTCAAACTTTAGAAAAACGACTGAAGCACTGGTTGAGGTATGTAGTTCGATACATAGATCGACAGATCGACAGATCGATAACTACATAATGGATTCAACCATCATCCTAAACAGAAACGAACCGTCATCAATACCCTGGCGAGTGGAACTTTGAGAATATGTCTACAAAAAAATATACACCTAACAACTGTGTTACATGCTACGACAGAAAAGACATTATTCGACCTCGGTTACTTTGGCAATAAAGTTCAGCAATATTTCGTATTTTCTATTCTCTTTCCCGAAACAGTGAAAAATGTATTTTGAAGGCATCATGAATATTTGAAATGACGGAAACTATAGAAAATAGTGAAAACTAGTGGCAGGGTGTCTGATTAAAATGTTGACAGAAGTATACCGCCCCCTGCTCGGATTTTTCGTTCAGTTTTCACTATTTTCTATAGTTTTCGTCATTTCAAATATTCATGATGCCTTCAAAATACATTTTTCACTGTTTCGGGAAAGAGAATAGAAAATACGAAATATTGCTGAATTTTATTGCCAAAGTAACTGAGGTCTTTATTCGCGCCACACGTCCAACGGAAAAGAAGAGGCACTGTTTATCTGTGTCTTCAAACCAACGAAGAAAATATCTAAGATCAGCAAAAGACGGCAGAGATCTACTCAAACCAGTAGGAGTTTAGAGGATTCCTTGTAACTATGGCAAAGTTTATATCGGTCAGACGAAAAGGAGCGTTGATACCTAATTAGTCAAGCACAAGCGGAGTTGCCGATCGGCACAGACCTAGAAGTCTGCATTCGCTGATTATGCATTGTCCGGGGAACACAAGATCTTTTACGAAAATAGCGAGATGCTAGCAACGTCAACAAATCACTATTCAACAAGAATGTATTTAGAAGCCATGAAAAATACACAGCAACAAGACAACTTCAACAGAAAGGAAAAGAGAACCTATTTACCAAAGATCTGGCACATAGCACTGAAAGGCGCAAAAACGAAGCCGTGTCACCCAACTCCCGCGGGCAGTACGCGCGAACTCGCCAGTAGAGAAAGTTCGCGGAAAATCAGCACAATAAATGACAGCAGAATTGAGAGCTTCAGTTTTAGTTGATTCGTCAAGAAGAGTACTTCGACCACGCCACTGAAGATGACTGCCGCAGTTGCAGTTGAAACGTTTTGAGATTGTAAGCAAAGAATATCACAGCAAAACCCACAAACCAACCAAAACATATCACTTGAAATCAAACGACAGCAAAATCCAAAAGATATTGTTTCTTTACGACTTCAAATACTAAAAATAGCGATAATATTGCCAAGATTCATTTTCGACCGGAATATATCATGGTATGCACACATTGATGAACTGAGTAAGAAGCTGTGTGAGAGTATGTTTGCTTATCGACAGCTGAATAGATTATTGTCTTTTGATGCCCTAAGAAGTGCATATTTCGCCTTGCTTTCGTCGTAGCATCGCCTTGTCACGGTAATGCGGGGCTCCGCCGTGATTGACCTTCTTTCCCTAGCTACTCGTGGGACTTTTATGGACAAAGTAAACTTAAACATTTTTTCTGACACTGAGTCTACAGAGGAGATGGATATCAAACTCACGACTACAACTGACCTCCCTGTAAATTTAGTTTAGGAGCGAGTCTACAGAGGAGATGGATGTCAAGCCTTCGACTCCAACTGACCTCCTTGTAAACTTCCCAACTTTACGACGACTTCTGATCCAATAACTGAACCTAAAAATAGGGTTTGGTGGTGCAGCCAGGAATTGACTGAGTCGTCTCCTCAAGAGCGGGGTACCTTATGAAACCGTTTTGCACCAAATTCTTGTGCGGCGTATGCAGAATCTGTCTCAGGTGGAGGAGCAGGTTAGCAAACATTGATCATATTTTACTTTTAGGTCACAGACTCGATGGCCGAGGAGAGAAATGGTGGGATGGCCAAGGAGACGGGGGGAAGAGAAAGCCACAATTCATGTTGATCCAAGCCACAGGAGGATCTACCTTGAAGAATATCAATATGTACAATTGTCCCCATCAGTGTGTGGGGATCTCTGATAGTGATCATGTTACTATCTTCAATTGGCAAGTTGATGTTTCGGCTGGCAACCCAGTGAACGGGGTAGGTTTGGTGTATATAAATTACCTCCGGTAGTTGAGGCACAAAAATCAAAAAAATCAAAATCAAAATAATTTATTCGCACCTGCTACACAGCACCCATCCTTAGGATAGATGTACACGTCAGATACTGTTACATTGAACAAAATATAATAAAATGTCACAAACATTAATAGTACTGAAGAACAGACAAATATGTGTAACTCTCAGACAGCAAGAAGATCATAAATCATCATTCAGGAATTCACTGATGGAGTAATAGGCTTTTGCACACAGAAATGTTTTCAATTTTTTTTTTTTAATTTTATGGTTCAGTTTTTTGACATGTGGTGGAAGTTTATTAAACATCCTTATACTTGCGTCGTGGTCTGGAGATCTTTCAGATGTCTTCAAATTATGCTTTGTAACTGAAAGTGCGTCCACGTTTCTTGTAGGATATTAATGGTAATCCGAGTTTTTTGTGATTTCATTTATATGTTGCTTCACAAATATTGATACTTTATGAAGATAAATACAGGTAAATGTTAGAATATTATAC